CATTCATTGTGGAATTTACTACATAACTTTAGTAGTTTCTAAAAATTATATTATGTTAAATGTTAGGATACGTATTTCATTTTATTTTCTCATTACCTCTTATTTNGAGCATTTTGAAAATCTGAGATAATGTTTTAATAAGAAGATAATAATTTGTTTAATGTCACACCAGGAGTTAACAAAAAGTAATGGAATCACAAAAGAGGGCTATCTGATGAAAGGACCAGAAATTGGAAGCAGTGACCGAATGTTTGCTCATATTGGCTCAAAATCATTTAAAAGACGCTTTTGTCACCTTAGACAAGAAGTCGATGGCACATATATTCTTGAATTTTTTAAAGATGAAAAGAAAGGCGAAGCAAAATTAACGATAGTAATGGATTTTTGTACTGAAGTTGCGAGAAATCCAAAACGTGGAAGATTTTGTTTTGAGTTAAGAATGAGTGGGACTCATAAATCGTATACTTTAGCAGCAGACAACGAGGCAGACATGCAGGATTGGTTATTAAAGTTGAGCTCAGTATTGCAGCATTATAAACAACAGGAAGAGAAACGTGCAGCTTCGTTGGAAAGAGCGTGCAATACACCACCTCCCTCTCCTCAACCTATGCAGGTATTAAACATAAGAATAAAACGTGCATGCTAAATTCTATAATAAACATGTTAAAAGCTTTATATTGCTATTTATAGGTTTATGGAACATTAAAAGGTTTAGAGCAGAGCATGAATCCACAGTTGATTAAATATTCCAGAGAAACTGACACAAGTATAGCATTGGCTAGACGTGAAAATCGTAAACGATTGTTTAGTATTTATCCTCATATTCCACATAGTAAGCAACAGCCAGGAAGTCCTAGTGACCACAATGTCGATCCATTCAAAGAGCAATTTGGACACAGAATTTTTGTAAAATGCGAAAGTCTCAAATTTAGATTACAAGCGCCTATAGATGAGAAGGAGTCATTGTGTCAGGTGGAACCTTATCAAACAACTCTCAGCCTTTATGATGCAAGAAATGGTAGAAAACTCGCTGAAAATTTTCATTTTGATATCAATCATGAAGTTGTCCAAGGAATGATAAAAGAATTAAGTCCTGTAGGTATTATGACAGAATCTACGGATAATACACAGTTGCCAGATGATTTAAAAAATATATCTTTGGACTGGATTAAATATCCGAAACAGGTTTGTCGTTTTAAACATATATATTTTCTATTGAGGTCATCAGTCTTATTACCATGTATAGTTTTTTTATTCTAAATCAAATTTATTTTTTACATTTATAGGCCATATTTAGTATTAGTAACCCTCATCCTGATATATTCTTGGTTGTAAGAATAGATAAAATATTACAAGGAAATATATGCCAAACTTCAGAACCATACTTGAGAGCTACAAAAGATCCACGGTTAGGTTTAAAAGTTCATAAACAAGTTAGAGCATGTTGCCAAAGGTACATTTTACTATAATCCTATTTAAAAAAAAAAACATTGAAAAATTGTTATTAATGCAGTTTGCATTTTTCAGATTGGGAAATTACAGAATGCCCTTTGCTTGGGCTGCCAGACCTTTATTTCGATTGTATAGTAATGAACTAGATACGTCATCTGATTTTCCAGCAATATATAGACAAGAAGGAAATAAAATAAAGGATGATGAATTACTGAAACTTCTTTCAGAATACAGAAAGTATATATCGCTGTGACACGAGGCAAGTTGTATGCAATCGTTTACTAATACGTTTTTTATTTTAGACCTGAAAAACTTAGTAAATTGACTGTGATACCAGGATGGTTGAAAATAAAAATTGAGTCAATTACAGAACTACCTGAAAGTATGTATTTTATTAATGAAATTTCAAATTCTCAACGAATTATAATTAAATAATGGAAGTATCTATGTTCTCTTTCATCTTCTAGATACACTGTCTACGTCCTTAGCAGCTTTGAAGCCATTTCCATTGCCACCAACTTCAGAACCGACTCTTGAAGTGGTAGAGTTTGAATGTACTTCGGAGAAAGATGTCCACCCTTATACGACATACATTAACCACCTTTATGTTTATCCGCAAGCTCTGTGTTTTGATGCTCAAAAAATATTTACGAGAGCCAGGAACATTGCATGCATTGTTGAACTACGAGACGATGATAGTGAAAATGCCACACCTTTGAGAGTATGCGTAAATTTAATTTTTGTTTAAATAAATTGGTGCAGTATTATTAATATTATTTTCATGTTTTCGATTAGTGTATATATGGAAGACCTGGTGCCCCTCTTTTATGTCTACGAGCGTGTTGCTCTGTTTTACATCACAATGCAGTTCCTTCATGGTATGAAGAAATTAAAATTCGACTGCCAACAAAATTGCATTCTAAACACCATTTGCTTTTCTCTTTCTATCACATAAGCTGTGATATGAATAAGAAAAAAGAGAACGGAGTGGAAAACTGTGTTGGTTATGCTTGGTCCCCGTTATTACACAAAGGAAGGTAGGACAATAAAAAACAACACTGCCCAAGATATTTGAGTCCAATTTATTTAAAAAAATGAATTATTATTTTCTGCAGATTGAATGTGGATATGGATATAAACGTACAAACTCTACCTGTAGCAACACATTTACCTCCTGGATACCTTTCAATACAACCTCTTGGGCTAGGAAAAGGGGTAAGAATAAGACAAAAAAAAATATGAGAGACTGTTTCACAATGTGTTTTGAAAACGACTTTTCTATTCTTAGAATGCAGGACCGGAAATTACATGGATCGATTCTCAACGTCCAGTGTTTACAGTAGCGTTCCAATTAATTTCCACTGTATTCACGCGCGACGTGCATTTGCATAATTTATTTGCTCATATGGAGCGAATCCTGGATACAACACAGGGAGCAGTACCAGCAGATTCGGAGACATGCAAAATATTAAAAGCTGCCCATGCTGTACAGCTAGTTACCGTTATTACATTTCTTCCTACCATACTGAATCAATTATTTACATTATTAACGCACACTACGAACGAAGAAGTCGGATTATTTATTATAAGAGTTTTAATACACTTCATTAACATGGTGCATGAAGCCGGTAGAAAGGAAACTCTTCAAGCTTATATTAAGGTAAACATTCCTGGAAAATGTAATCATTTGATACCTTTAAATAATTGAAGAATACGGAAAGAATATTTAATTTGAACTAATGTATTTTGCAGTTTGTTTTTGCATCACCAACACAAGGAAACGGTAGTGTCACAGTGCACGAACAGTTGGGAAAGCATCTTCCTACATTGTTACAGCCCAGTAATACCGACTTTCTCGTAGTCAATAAATTCATGCACCACTCTAGTTTCTTTTTTGAAATAATGATTAAGAGTATGGCACAACATTTACTTTCAACAGGTAGAATAAAGGTGGGTCATGAAATAGGCGGTTCATATTAACCCATACATTATTGGAATAAATATTTCAACTAAACTGCTTATAGATGCATAGGAACGAAAGGTTTTCTAAAGAATATCATGAAAAGATCAGGAACTTGGTGGATGTTATTATGCCATACCTTATGACAAAATACAAAGAAATGCCTGTCGAAACTCATGAATTAAACAAAAGTCTCGCACAATTTCTGAAAGTAAGTGAATGTAATATATATTCTTTCTTGCCCACTTTATTTTACGTAAAGTTTGGAATTAATCGATGAAAATTTTCATAGCGATGTCTTACGTTCATGGATCGCGGATTTGTTTTCTGCCTAATCAATTCATATATGGACAACTTCTCGCCGGGCGATACACGTACATTGCACGATTTCAAATTCACATTCCTGCAAATAATCTGTACACACGAGCATTATGTGTCTTTCAATTTGCCAATGATGCAATCACGAATTACTTCCAGAGGTAATATTGTAACCACTGTTATTATGTTCAGTATCTTCAAGTATGTAATTTAACCACTTTATGCTTTATTCAGAAGATACAGAGAGTGATCCAGAATGCGATGGTATGTTAAGTCATGTCCATACACTCCCGTCTTAATTGTGGTTTGTTACTGTAGCCATAGTGAGTGGGAGGTGCACACAATTTTTTGACATTGATCACTATCAATCACTAGATTTATAGAAAATGTTTTCATGGCATCCTTATTTGTTGCTATGCAAGCTTGGTTTATTATATCATTATGCACTGAGTACCAAAATTTTTCAAAGTTAATGAGATAATTCGTAATTACACTACGCCCGTAGTATGCTCACACTTTGTTTCAGATTTTTCAAGCATAATACGATATGAACTGCACGAATTTGCAAATATTTTATAAATATGAAATTAGCAGAATAATATGAATTAATCGAGTTCCATCAAAAATTCGTTTCAATGATTTTGGCAATTGATTATACATATATATATATAGTATAAGTTTTATAGCAATCTATGAAATGATTTTAATTTCGTTTGATATTTAATGTTTTTAGGCTGACTTTGAATGTCTATATATAGATATTTACGTTTTCATGTCATCCAATTTCATAAAAAATAAAATATACTTATTAACATGAAAGTATTTATTCGTTACAGATTTAATTAATGAGTACTGTTTATCTGAAGACTTCTGTAAACATCACTTTTTGGTTGGACTGTTAATGCAAGAGGTAAAAACTTCTTTGAATGAAATTGTACAAATACGAAAAGTTGCGATAGCTACGTTAAGAGATTTAATGGCGAAACATGAACTCGACGATAGATATCAGAATAAGGTATATCGATTATAACTTGACCTTCCATTAAAATTGTATTACGAAATAAAAATTTTAGTTTAAAATAATTCCATTTGTTCAGGGTCAATTAAGTAGAATAGCATCCGTTTATATACCATGGTTAGGGATCGTTTTGGAAAATTTACATAGACTACAATCTGTACACGATAGTGGTAAAACAGAAGCTAAGCAAAATGGAACCAACAGAATATCAACTAGTAGCTCATTCTTAGCGAACAAAGATACTAGTAGCGTCACAACAGCTACTGGAACTCCAAAGTCAATTCACAGGTAAGTTTGCGTCATTTCTATTTGAATGATAAAAAAATATAATGAAAATAATTTATACATAATCTTGTGTACAGGCTCACAGTAAATCTGGATACACAGTCCCCAATAAGAGCATCCATGCATTTGCGAGATTCTACGTATTTTGCGGCCATAGCAGGTCAAGGTTTAGTCAACGGATATTCATGTACTAGCATAGAATCGGATACATCAACTATATCTGGTGCTTCACAGTCAAATATATCCCAAGAAACTACAATTGTAATCCGCGAACCAATTGAAAATGGCACCGGTGAGAAAAAGAGACATTCTCGGTCTCTAAGCGTTACACAGTCGTCTTCAAGATGCGATAAATTACAGTCGTCGGAAGTGAAGGATATTCTGCTATGTTTCTTATTTGTTATAAAATACTTGGGTGACCATCAAGTTATTGCTTGGTGGCAGCAGTGCAGCGATCTTGAAATTTTGAACTTTTTCTCAGTGATAGAGTGAGTTCATACTATCAATGTAACATTAAAAGATTTATTTTTACTGTACAGAAAGTATATGTCAATTTTTTCAGAATGAGTCTTTATCATTTCAAGTATATTGGAAAGAGGCAAATCACCACAAACGTGACAAACAATTCTGGAAAACCTCGAACAGTGAAGGCAATGACGTTACCAGCCAGGATGGCACCTCCTGACTTTTCCAACGAAGGACCAGCTACCAGCACTTTACAACCCCATAATAATACACTTAGAGAGAATCTTGTCGAAAATGATACTGGAAAAGTTCACCAAGTTTTGTTAGAAGCAAATATGGCGACGGAAGTTGGTCTTATTGCGTTAGATTGTTTAGGATTGTTCTGTCTTCATTTTAAGGTATACACTTTCGTTTATACAGGGTGAATCACTAAACTAAAGGCCATTAAAATGAATAAGTATGTTTTTAGGATGTACTTTTAGCAACGAACGGTGACAATCCTATTATGCAAAAAGTTTTTAATATATATTTATCATTCTTACAAGTTGGACAGTCGGAAACATTGTTGCGCCACGTTTTCGCCAGCTTCAGAGCTTTCTTAAATAATTACTCTGTAATTCTTTTTCAAGGTATACATTCTTTTTCTCGAAGTATGAGGAAAAGTTGTGTTAGTTTATTAATTATAATTGATTTTACAGGTAATGCAGTTCTTTGCGGGCGTCTGTGCTATGAGCTATTGCGTTGTTGTAACAGTAAACTAAGTTCTATTAGACAGGAATCTTGTGCACTGGTTTATCTGCTTATGAGAAGTAATTTTGAGTTTACGAGTCGAAAGGGTTTGACTAGAGTTCACTTACAAGTAAGTGAGGTTTAGAAAATTAATATTTTTTTATTTTCCCTTGGCGAATGAAACATACAAAACTATTTGAAATGTTTTATACGTCTGTTTATAAACAGGTAATAATCTCTGTTTCACAAATGCTTGGAAACGTGATTGGATTGAACAATTCAAGATTTCAAGAATCATTATCGTTAATAAACAGTTATGCTTCGTCTGACAAAGTAATGAAAGGTACAGGTTTCCCCGTTGAAGTGAAAGATCTCAACAAAAGAATTCGAACTGTTCTAATGGCAACCGCGCAAATGAGAGAGCATAATAATGATCCAGAAATGTTAGTCGACTTGCAACATAGTTTAGCTAATTCTTATGCTAGCACGCCAGAATTAAGATATACTTGGTTGGAAACTATGGCTAGAAATCACGCGAGGGATGGTAATTTTTCAGAGGTACAAATTTTGTTATATGTTGAGTAACTAGGTAGATATATTACAAATTTGTATACAACTATTATATCTTAGGCTGCTTGCTGTCATCTACATATTGCCGCATTAATGGCCGAGTATCTGAAATTGAAAAAAGTTCATACGTGGGGAGCAGAAGCTTTTGACAAAATCTCTGAAAACATTTCTAGAGACGAATGTAGCCTCAAACTCGATGCTGGTGAGATTTGTATGTTTTGTACACGTTTGTATTATGATTTATATTTTTAATTATTCTCAATCTATTTCATCTTATTAATTTTATCTTTTCATTGTGCATGAGTAGTCTGCATGGTGTGTAATGAAAATTTTATACGTTTTTTAGCATAATTTATATTTTTAACTTAACAAATGAAATTATTTATGTATTTAAACAATTTATTTTCTTATTTTACTATTTTAGGTGTGCAAGATATTCACTACAATGAGTATCTACTGCTTGAACAATTGGAAGTTTGCGCTGAAATGCTAGAAAAAGCAGAAAGATTCGAACTGCTTGGACACCTATACCGTTTAATAGTTCCTATTTATGAAGAGAAACGAAACTACGAAGCTCTAGCAAATTGTTACTCACATTTAGCACAGGCATGCAATAAAATTGTAGAAGTTACTAAATCTGGAAAGAGGCTTCTCGGGAGGTTTTATAGAGTTGCATTCTTCGGTTCGGTAAGAAAAAACTGAAAAATATTTCTCTTCTATGGTACACAAACTTAATGGTATTCATAATTTGATTTTTATACATTATAGGCATATTTTGAAGACGAGAATGGACAAGAGTACATTTACAAAGAACCCAAAGTTACTTCTTTGTCAGAAATTTCGGAGCGCCTAAATCATTTGTATTCCGATAAATTTGGCGCAGAAAATGTTAAAATGATTATGGATTCCGTACCGATTGATATAACCGAGTTAGATCCAAAATTTGCATACATTCAAGTGACACACGTGACACCTTATTTCGAGAAGTATGAATTAGAAACTAGACAAACCGAATTTGAACAGAACCATAACGTGTCGTGTTTCATGTTTGAAACTCCATTTACTAAGGAAGGAAAAGCGAGGGGTAATCCAGAAGATCAATGGAAACGGAGAACAATTCTAACAAGTACATTAAATTTAAATTTGCAACTTTTAATTTTATTGTAGCTTCTTGAAGACAAAATAGTGATTCGTTTTATACAGGGTGTCCCAAAAATGTCTCGCATTACGGAAATGTGGGGTAGCTGAGATCATTCTAAGTAACTTTTTCCTTTGCGAAAATGCAATCTGCGGCTTTGTTTACGAGTTATTAATGAAAAACACCGACCAATGAGACACATTGACGCGAAACACAACGTGGTCAATCAATCGAGTACCATGTGCTCCTACCACTGATTTTGACAGCTGAAGGGGGACCCTGTGATAGAGAAATATGAAGAATATTATCAATAAGAAACTCACCCATTTTGTTGTTAATCCACTACATGGTCGGAAATGTGTGCTGGAGGATAATGCATTGACCTCGTACAATGTATGATGAACTACACAGCTGATCTGTATCCGACGGCGACGAACAGAAGGGTGTTTCCAGGCAGGCTATTCCAATGGTCACTTTTACTACATTATCACTAAACACTGATCACATAACAATATCTGCGAACGGTGCGAACTTCGAACGTGTCGCATAAAAAATCGGCTCTTTTCAGGGCCATACATATTAACCCAGGAAAGTTCGTCCGCAGATATTGTTGATATGTGATCAGTGTTTAGTGATAATGTAGTAAAAGTGACCGTTGGAATAGCCTGCCTGGAAACACCCTTCTGTTCGTCGCCGTCGGATACAGATCAGCTGTGCAGTTCATCATACATTGTACGAGGTCAATGCATTATCCTCCAGCACACATTTCCGACCATGTAGTGTATTAACAACTAAATGGGTGAGTTTCTTATTGATAATATTCTTCATATTTCTCTATCAAACAAATATCTTACGTCCTTTAACACGATTATTATTTATTAAATTAGCTTTGCGAATCGCTCGTTGAATTGTGTTCG